GGAGGGGGGGAACCGCCACCCAAAACTGCTTACATGAATTTCCAAGCGCTAGACCTGCCTCCGAGATCAGCCCAATAAGAGCTGTCAGGGGAGGCTCCCAGCTCACTTTTCCACATCACTTCACAGTTACATTTGGCAGGCAGGCACGTTGGAGCGCTCAGACCCGGAATTAGCGGATTTATTTGGAATATCCCTGCTTTCCTGGAGACGTGCTGCTGCCGCTGGCTTGTGCGAAGGGAGAAATTAATAACTGCACTTTAGCATGCAGGCACAGAAACCCGAGAGGCTAAGTAACCAGCGTCTCCTCCAGCATCGGCAGCCTCAGAAAGCATGACAAGAAGATCTGGAGAATCCTGCCTGTTCGCAGGGACTGGCTAATGGTTTTTACCTCGCCCTTTCAATCCGTGCGTGAAGTGGCTGTCAGCAAGCAGTTTCCTTGGTCCTTGAAGGAGTGAGTATTAATTTTATTATTATTTATGTCTCGCTGGCAGAGGGCTGTCTCTCTGTGGATCTCTTTTTGACTTAGTGTCTGTCTGTGTTGTTGCAAGGTGCACTGTGCGAGTGCCTTCGCGTCAATGGGTATGGTGTTAGGCAGCCCTGTAGTGGCTCATTAAGTCAGATGTTTTGAAATTCCTGATAATGCAAATGTCATGGGCATGCCGGTTAGGATTTTTTTTTATTCCCTGGGAGGAGGAGTGGTGGTGGTGTGGTTGTTTCTTCTCCAGTTTTGTTTTTTGACATGTTGGTTTGGGTTGTTTTTTTTTTTCCTCCTTCCCTTCTTTCCCCACCCTTTAAAGGATCAGGAGGACTTTGGACCACAGAGGGTTGGTTCTAAGGCTGGAGAACTCATGGCTTCTTGTTTTCGTATTTAGTACAATAAATCTCCGGGCTATTTCACTGTGTTGAATAGATGCAGGGCTGCATTCATGCATTGAAATAGATTGCAGTTTTCGTGCTGAGAATAAAAATCACCCACCAGCCAGATATGTAAATGAGGGAGGAGGAGGCTGGAAGGACCATGGGGGTGGGGGGGAATCCCCCTGATTTATCACCACCTTCCTTCCCCCCAAAGCTTTGCACCCCTTAGATTAAAAAAAAAAAAAAAAAAAAAAAAATGGTGTGATAGCTCCTTTTCCTACTTTCAGAACAGAGAGCATCTCAGATAATACTGCTCTCCCCCTTAGAAGAAGAGATGGGAATGAATCTTTAACTATAACTAGCCAGGAGTCATCCCTGTCCCACAAGTTGTTTTCCTTCCCTTTCTTTGGTTGACTAAACAGATAATGCACCCAGATGAAACTTCAGAGAGGGAGAAAGCCCCTAGCTCCAGTCACTCGTTCGTTGCATCACTACCAAGGCTCCCAGAGAAGATATGCAAGGAGTCTGTCGACCCCTGAAGCTGGCTGTTCCACTAAACGCTTCATCTTCTCTTTGAGGAAGGCAGAGGAGTAACATGCCATTACATTCTGCTTGGCTACTATATCTGCTGGGTAGCAGCATCCCAATGAGGAGCCCCGAGCTGTCAGACAGCATCCCTGCTAGACAGTATCAGACCTGTGTACGGTGCTTGGCTGGGGAGCCTGGGAGGCACTGCAAAGCTTCAGCACGGAAAGCCTATGGCAGTTTCTATGTGGATATTATAGAAAAGATTGATTCAAATCCTTATTTAGACACTGCCTACCGCCATGAAGGTGACACCACTTAACATAGGCAGGAATTCCTTTGTGGTTCATTGCTGTTCAGTTGTGTCTTGAATCTGTCTCAATTCAAACAGTTTGCGTTTAGTACCAGACTAAATAGAGTGGAATCAATCCAACCTGGCACATAACGGCATTACACAAGCCTGCTCGTATTGCCAACAGGTATCAAACTCTATACCCTCGCTTCTCCCTCCCTCTTCCACTCTTTTAGACCAGCACAAACATACACACTCTGTTTCATGCACGATTGTCTTTCTTTCCTCTGAAAGTAGGAATAAATACTCATAGAACTTTCTTAAAGCTGACACTTCTAAACAGTGAAGTTGATTGCATAAACGGCTCGCCACTTGTGTCTCTGGGTATCACAGCCAGATGTTTTTTGGGGGGTGCTGATCGTAAGAAATCAAACAATGTTAACTGTTTATTGTTTCAAATCGACTGTGTTAGTGCTTAGTAGAAGGGAAGCTAACAGCTGGTCACTTCAGTTTCGATTAAAGAATAGAGCTGATAACTACCAAAGCCGTAGATGAAGAATCCTCTTAACTTCACGCATCCTCTTTTGGAAATTCTTCAAGAGTTTTCCTGCAATAAGGATAAAGAAAAATACGTAGTACTTCAGTATGAATGCTATTCCTTCTCTGTGTTCAGTAGCAGACTGTTAAGAGCAAGAAGAGACGTTGCAATAGGCTTCTCAGTAAATATAAGTAAATAATAAATACATTCAGAAGACTGGAAAATTACACTAATGTACGTTTTATCTGTCTTAAAATGATAAAGCAGCTAGAAGAAGTTAGTATTTAGCATGTCTGTGAAATTATCAAATTTCACACCCATAAAATGTGATAACATCCAAACCCAAAAGCTCTCTGTGGTGTCACCTCCCAGCCTCACTGTATGAACGTTTGCAACAGAAAAACCCTAGGAAGGGAAGTGATTATTACATGACATTCTAGTCTAAGGTTTTCATCCCTTCAGCCTTATTGTTCTACTTTTCTGCATACAGAATGAGCACAGCTTTCTGCTAGCTTCCTCCTAGGCTTGTTATTTATTAATTCTCCCTTCTTAAAAAAAAAAAAAAAAAAAAAACAAAACACCAAAAACCAACTTGCATTCTGGCTATAAAGAACTTTGATTGCCATTCCTAGTTGTAAGTTGAGGGCCTTTGGTGTCCTCAGAGATTGAAGTATTTTGTGAAAGTTAGTTCTTCAGATATACAGGTGAGCAATTTGTTAACTGAGCAGGCTGCTAGCCAAGAAACTAACTTTGGACATTTTCTTCAATATTTAAAACTCAATAAGTATGTGTGCCCGCTTGACAAATGCAGCTGGTTTTAGTATGAAGTGTCCCTGCATAGGACATCCACTCCTTTTACACCTTTCATTTAATTTACAAAAAAAAAAAAAAAATCTCCATGAGATGAAGTAAAATCCTCCTTAGATAGAGTCTCTCAGTGCTTTTTTGGTATACTTTAGTCATTCCCATCAGCTCCTGCTACCGAAGGCCAAAACAGAGTATTAAAGGGGAAAGTGGTCCCACAATCAGATGTAAATTAACTTTCTTTGTCAGTTTTCATCTGCAGAATTTTTCGAACAATATTGCATCTTTACCTAATAAATTGACTGATCCCTGGACACTTTATTTGTATCACTGTTAATATATGCTGCACCATCTTCTCTAGAAAAAAAAATATACTTGTATTTCCTACTTAAGGATGTAAAACTGTTACAAGTAGGAACACACAGTCAGCCATGGATGTAGATTTAGGTCTATCATCCCTTGAAGTACTTCCTGGATTTTCTTTCTATTTCTTCTCACATTGTTGAAGATTTAATCTTTTAAAATCTTCATTTCAGAAGACCTAAGTGCCCTACAGACACTGGGAACTTCTTCAGCCACTTATTGAAATTAGGGACCTGGAACCCACCCACTTGACCTTTGATACCTACAGATAATTTCACTTCCAAAAAGTGGAGAGACCTTCAAGGGGAAAAAATACTGACCTCTACATTTATGAACAAGAAGGAGATGGGGACGTGTACTTGAAGCTCTTGGTGCTGCATATCTCTAAGTGATGATTTTGCGTGCTCTGTAACAGAAGGCAGCTGCTCATGCTAGATAGTATAAACTGATATTTTTATAGCATATCTGATAACCATAAGATTCTGTATCTTAACAGTATTCTTTTTCTAGTCTGTTTTCTAATTTTGATATCATTAAGACTTGAACTTTTGGATATTGTATTAATACTGACAGTTGTGTGCTTACAGTGTACACCATAGTTGTGTCATAAGAGTCTTTCAACTATGAGTTTAAAATAATAGAAACTAAATTCTGTCAGTGGGAGGGAAATGCTAAGGCATTTTGAGCTTGGAACATTTTAAGCATCATCGCTACCATAAGATAGCATCAATAGAATTAAATTAGATGATGGAAACGCAACATTTTTCTTAGTGTTGTTGCCATAGAAAAGGTGGCTCACTTCATAGCTTTCTGAACATAACTATTTGAGCAGTAGATAGAAATAGAACAAAATAAAGTCCGATTCAGTCTGAGATTTCAAGTGTGTGTATCATAGATTCACTTTTTTTTTTTTTTTCCCCTCTCAGATAGACTCCTTTGTTCTGGAGTCTGTTCAGCACGTTTCTTATTTTGTCAACCAAGTGAATAACACCAACACAGTGACATTTCAACTCTATTAATAAAATTTTGTTCCCAAATAACATTGGGTACTGGTGATATCTGAAGTGGTAAGTGCAAACTGTAAAATGAAAGATGACTTCTGAACCAGTTCAGTACCAAGACAGATTTTAAGGTATGTGACAGATAAGAGCCCTGATTTCTACCTGCCTTAGTCATGAGAGTAGCCTTTATCCATGAGTTGCAATGATAATACTCATAGAATTGATTTTCCAAGGTGTTGAGCATGACGTCTTGTGAAAATCACTTGAAATTGAGAGTGATCACCACCTTGGCTTGGATTCGAAATTAGTAAAGTCAACCAGTCCTAGATCTGATTAAGTGAAACCTTCTATGGGAAGTGTCCACTGTACCCTGCAGTGCCTGAGTCGGAGATGAGCTCAGAAAGGTGTTTCTCAGTGTGTCTTGCTTGGGTATTTGCAACTGGATATGGCAGTTCAAAACCTTACGAAAGCAGTCAGGCTTGGTAGTCACTAGTTCAGAGTTTCACCCTTCTAATTTCGTGTATGTTCAGTTGAAGAAGCTTACTCCTGGGAAGCGACACTCATCTGAATTTGAGGAACTTGGATCACCATTTAAACCCCTTTCCTTTGCAGTCACTGATTACCATAATCATGTACAAGTGTGTATTTATATTTTTATGGGGCTTTAATATATATCTATATAAATCATTATATCAAAGCCTCTGAATACTAGTGCAAAGGGACTGTATGCATTCAGAGGTAGTGCCATTCAGGAGCTGGGTTTTGCAATTGAGCAGTGCTGTAGATGTGAACCTCTCTTGTGGATTAAGTGTAACAGCTAGGATTGCCTTGTAAATAACAGATCATCAGAACTTGATTCTTAACATCCCTGAAGTTTGGACTGGGTTCTTTATTCTAATCTGTGGGCTTTTTTTTTTTTTTTTTTTTTGTGCATGTCCAAAAGTCAGATTAAAACAAATGAAAAGAAAAACACACCAAAACAAAAACCTCAACCTGGCAACTGCAAAAGAAATAAGTTTTATGGTGGAGGACCCTAATTATTTCCAAACAACTCATTTAAGTTGATGGTA